TAAATTTGATAAACAACATGGCGTACAATTAATGTACTTTTCAAGAAAATGCTTGGAACATATACAGCTGAATTTAGAAGGTTCCCAATTATGCCTGTTGACAAAATATCCACGCGCTACGTTGTTCAGGATTTTCTGGAAATCTATAAATATTATTTCATATGAAAAAGTATTATTCCAATATAGGTAGGCCCAAAAGTTGATAGACGATATTTTTTTGCATTTTTAAAAGCATACTTTTACACATTTTATACAAACATGTCATAATACTGTCCTGTATAATATTTATAATTGTGATACTAACCTAAGAAACGTTATTCCAGTCGATTTTTTACAAAAACGACTATCGCTAGACCAGGAACATATAACACAACAAGGCATTATATACTTTATAAGTTTGTAACACTCAAAATTTGCTCAAATACAAATTAAATTCAAATTTATTAACACAAATGACACTAAAATATAACCTATAAAATTTGACAATTTGCACTCACAGTAATGGCGGACCGGTGCCATTTTCCGATTACGCATGTCGTATCCCTAGGTTGCCAGATCAATGGATATATCCAAGGGTTGCGACATATTTTATGTCAAACACAATAAAAATAAAAACCGCTTCTTTTATAAATTGGCAGGCTTGGTGACTATTATTTCGAATAAAAAAGCGTTTAAGATGCGCTACCCCCTTAGATATACCAGACCTTCTCACTGGCAGCTATTGTTTGACAGGTCGTTGGAATTGGTTATAGTAAGAGAGCCCACTGCAAATTACGACGGCCATATGATAATAAAATGAAATATACTCCAAAGACATGTAATAATATTGTACTTTACCAAATTGCACCTGAGCCAATGTCTATCCTGAGCAAATTGGTTAAAAAAAATTATTTTATATACAGAAAATCACATAAAACATGACAGTGATAATTGTGTTTTCCCTGAAAATTACAAGCCTAATTAATTGTGAACCTAGCTTTTAAACCTGAATTATTAATATTTTTACCTATCTTTTAAACCATGTGTATGTGTGAAAGGAGAAAGGATGGCATTGTATAAGCCATTTGCAGAGATAGTCAATAATAATAATTATAAACTCTTATTAGACAATTCATAGTAGTTTTTTTTGTCGTTTCTATGGCAACCTGTAAAAATGAATCATAACAATAGCCATGCAAATAAATTTTTAAATCAGCAGAAACTGCTTCACATTTTTAATGGTTTTTACCTACTAATCGTGTGTAGATGTTTTTGTGCGATGTGAAGAGGAAGAAAATGTTTCCCGTTAACGATATATATCATGATATATTTGAATGTTGTTATCTGGAAAACTTTAAGGGCAACAAAAATTAGCGCTGTCATGCCTTATGTGTTTTTTTAATAAAAAATTTTTTTAACCACTGCTCAGGATTGGGATTGGCACAGTTGCCATTTGGTAAAGTACAATGTTTTTACAAGCTTTTGGGGTATATTTTATTTCATTATCTGATGGGGGTAAAAATTTGCAGTGGGCTCTTGGACTATTATTTGATTCTGTATGCGCCAGGGATACAAATTCGAGTTGCGTAATGTATAAACTGGAACATTTAGATCAAAAGTGCCGATGCAGAATGAGTGAACTGTTTCTTTAGCTATAAACTGTGCCATTAGTATGTGTATCGTGTTCAGGAGTTATTGTTTAAAAACACACATAACTTAATAGGAGGCCCGGAAATGAAAAACAAAGCTAAAGTGAATGCCATAATTATTTCGATTCTCTCTGCCCACTACAGCGTACCATACCATGACCATAACAGTGACGTGTCAGACACGAAAGAAAGCACTCCGGTCAGTACTAAGCCCACTGCAGCGAATCAGCAGCGTTTTATCCTCACCTACAACATAGCCTTGCTATAGACGATCCGTGTAGGAACCTGCAAAATATTATCGCTGTGAAATTGTTGACGGTCCTGTCATGGCACGCTACGGTGTTGGCCGGTGACGGAACGGTCTAGTGGGCATTGTCGCGCACATCAAAACATGCAAAGAATATTTGTTTGTATGTTTCGATACGGTTACGGTCCTAGTATGGTAAGGTGTAATGGGCAGAGACCATTAAAAAGAAAGATTTAAACAAGATTACGATATGAATAATCGGCAATTTGAATATAGTTATACTGAAATGGCTGGCTTGCTTTTAGTCTTAGGTAATTTGGTAGAAGTGCAAATATTAATTTATACGAATAAATAATAGACGTGCACCCGATCGTAGACTTTTCTTAACTATTGCTTTAAGATTGAGAGATTGAAAAAACAGGTTGCAGGAAATAGCGATCGTCATAAAGACTATGCGTATGATGATTAAATTATGGAAGAATTTTTCATAATAAAGTCTGGCGTGTTTTAAAAAGTCAACAGCTGTATCCATTTCATTTAACACCTGTACAAGAACTACTTCCTGAAGATTTCCCAAGATGCTTCGGATTTTGAGAATGGCTTTTGGAAGAAAATCGGTGTGATATAAATTTTGTAAGTCGGATACTATTTACAGATGAAGCAGGTTTCACTAGAAACGGTGCAACTGACTTCCATGACATTCATAGCTGGGCGGATGAAAATTCTAAGTTGAAAAAAGTCAGTCGTCACAAAGACAATTTTAGAATAAACGTGTGGGCGGGAATAATTGGAAATAATTTAATTGGACCAGAAATTTTGCCGAATAACTTAAATGTAGAAAATTATTTAGAATTTTTACCGGAACATTTGAAAGACATAAATTTAAGGTGAAGGGGGGAGAAAAAGTCCTTTATATCTCACAAGGAAAGTCCAATGTTTAATTATTCAACAAAACATTGAGTGCGACCGGTTTCGAAGTAACATCACTTCATCTTCAGGCTCGCCTAGTGGAAAGGAGAATATGTGGTGTAAGGTGTGTTGACTTTGAGCCCACAATATATAAAATAGTAAAAAATAGAAAAAACTCACCATACTCTCCATCCACTAGGGAATACTACAAACCAGTTTCATCAAAACGTGGGGGATGAAATAAATTGTAAAACAAAACAATGTTACAAGTTATAAAGTTAAAAATATTTGAAAAACAAATATTAGTCGATAAAACAGTTAAAAATTTTAAAAATATTCAAGACGATACAAAAACAAATTACATACATTAAACAGATTAAAAGATAAGGCCTGTTTTAAGCAAACATTGCTGTTTTTTATAAAAATCTAACATTTTTGAAAGGAGACCTGTCAAGTTAAGGCCTCTACAGGTGGTGGTAAGTACTAAAGAAAGATTCTTGGATAAACTTATGAATCTTTCTTTAGTACTTACCACCACCACCACCTGTAGAGGCCTTAACTTGACAGGTCTCCTTTCAAAAATGTTAGATTTTTATAAAAAACAGCAATGTTTGCTTAAAACAGGCCTTATCTTTTAATCTGTTTAATGTATGTAATTTGTTTTTGTATCGTCTTGAATATTTTTAAAATTTTTAACTGTTTTATCGACTAATATTTGTTTTTCAAATATTTTTAACTTTATAACTTGTAACATTGTTTTGTTTTACAATTTATTTCATCCCCCACGTTTTGATGAAACTGGTTTGTAGTATTCCCTAGTGGATGGAGAGTATGGTGAGTTTTTTCTATTTTTTACTATTTTATATATTGTGGGCTCAAAGTCAACACACCTTACACCACATATTCTCCTTTCCACTAGGCGAGCCTGAAGATGAAGTGATGTTACTTCGATACCGGTCGCACTCAATGTTTTGTTGAATAATTAAACATTGGACTTTCCTTGTGAGATATAAAGGACTTTTTCTCCCCCCTTCACCTTAAAATTACTTCAACTCACACATGGCTACCCCCCTTGTCAAACATAAATTTAGAGGTAAGGCAATGTATGTGGTTTCATGATGGAGCGCCAACCCATTTTAGTCGAGCCGTAAGGGAGTTTCTTTTTGAAAATTAGGGGTAGCTCAATCGCAGCCCTAGGGATGGCACTGATTTTTATGTGTGTTTTTTGTACAATAATTCCTGACCTACTCTTAGTTTTGTATTTAAACTCCATGTTGTTAAGTCCAGGACGAACAAATTAAGTTAAAAAATTGTAAATAGCTCGTTAACTAAGAGAGATTCAAAGTTCATTTCACTATAAAAAAATTCATAGTTCTTTTTGATTTTAAGATCGATAAAGCAAGTTTCTTTATGTCAAAAAAAATACGGGGAGGTTAAAAAGTACCTAACCCCCAACTTTTTTAAGGGGGTCGCTTTAAATTTGTTTTCTCCTTGGAATATTGGCCATTTAAATCTACAGCACTGGCAAAAATTTCAAAGAAAAAACGCAACAGCAAACTTTTTACAAAAAATATTTTTCTGAATGTTAGTTTGACGCTCTGTAACTTTGTTGAGAGCCATTTTTTAATATAGGTAAATATAGCCAAATTCACTGATTTTTTGGTAATCTATCTGAGGAAGAATTTATGACATACCTTTTTGAAACAAGCTGTATATATGGAAACCATTTATACAATTTTATGAATTTAGAAAATATGTTTTAGATGCAAATGGAAGTATTTAAGACCTAACTTTGATACTGAGTAAATATGAGAAAAAAAAGATGATACCGATTTAAAGAATGTACAGTCAATACTTTATGGAATGCATAGTCAAGACTTTATGGACTGTAACTAGTAAGTTACTTTTTATTAAATAAATGAGTTAAAATATGCCAAACATTTTCTGACCAGTGATAGATACTATTTTTTTTTTCAAATACCTCAAATACCTCCGCCTACGGCGTCAAGAAGTTACCAAGCAACTTGCTTCCGGTAAGTGAAACAAAAATTATTTCGAATTATCGCTGTCCTTGGGATATTACTACTGAAAAGTGACCAAGTCAAATCTTATTTATTTGAGTTAATATAACAAAGTCTTGTTAGTCAGATCTACCAAAAAACATACTGTCATACTGCCTGAAAGTACTAAATAAACTCAATCAATATAACTTGGTCATTTTCTTTTGTAAATCTGATTTTAACAAGTGATTTGGTCATTATAACTCAAATATAAAATTTGACTTGGTCACTTTTTGCGGTAAACCCACGTTATTTTTTACTAGATTTAATCTAGAGCCGTTCGTAGTTATAGTATCTCTATCTTTGTCAATAATGGCCTACTTTATAAACATTTTTTTGTGGATTATACAACAATAAATATTTTAAATTTATTTAATTTTAAACAGTTTTAAGTTGATCTTAAACTAAATTTTACTTTTAATATTTCATTTTCAGTTCTTAATACTATATCAGGTACTAGTTGTATCGTTTCTTGCGTATCTACGGGTTCCAAAATGAAATTTCTTATTATACCACATAATACTGCTTTTAGTTCTAGATATGCGAAACGTTGCCCTAAAAATAATGATTATTATGTATAGTTATTTTTAAAAACAGGAATCAACTCTGATCAATAAAATCAACCAGCAAAAACAATTCTAAAATTTGAACAAATAAAAAATAAAAAAATATGATGTGTTTAACACATGACTTTCCTATCTAGTTATAACAGGCTTTTTGGTTATTTTGTACAACCTATTGTAGCACCTCTGTAAATATTTAGAGGTTAACTTAATATATACATTTTTTACATACATCTAACTCGAAACATTTCTCTATATATACTCATTGCCAACGAAAATGCTAAAAAATTTAAATTTTATACTTTTCCTCCAATTTTTCCATTTTAGATAAATCATGTAATAAATAAAAATTATAGAGATAGATATCTTTTAGTTTAACAATTCTCTTAAAAATCAGAATTTTTTACATTTTGAAAATTTTCTCGAATACAGACCATTTTAGGAAATTTTTTTATAAAACAAAAATTATAGAGAATAATATTTGAAGTAACTTTTATATAAACGATTTTCTTCTCCAAAGAAAAATGACTAATATATTCCATAAAATATAAGAACGACCCTTTATAAAGTTCCCCCTCCCCCCAGATGTTCCGACTCTACCCAAAATTCAATCAGTTCACCTCAGGCCGGAATAAAGCTTAAGTTAAAAACTTAATGTGTTTTTCTTTACCCGTTTTTGAGTTTTCTTTAAAATTCGAAATTTACACTTTTTCTCAAATATCTCGAATGCAGTCAATTTTAGAGAAATTATGTATAGAGGATGACAACAGTTTCTTCACACATATAAACCACCGACCTTGATATTAAACTGGAAAGCTATATGACATAAACCCTACTCCTAATTTCTAAGCCGACATGGGTGAAAAAAACGGTCGGTGCGCATGACAATTTGGTCGCCAGACTGTCAATTTCGAGCATTCTACGTCACGTTTTCCACGGGCGTACAAATTATATTAATATCTACCTATTTTAATAATAATTATTATTGGAACATTTGTTTCAGCTGCGTATTAATCAAATATCATTTTGAAGTGATTTTTTTAGATTAAAAGGTGTCATAGTTGAATGTAATAAGTGTTAAATTTAATTTTGATGATCCATTATAGTGCATTTCGATACGCACATGTGGGCACCACAGTGTCAAATATCACCTCGCTATGCGGCTTGATTTTGTTGATCGGCTTTGTTCTTCCAGTTTAATATATTGTTCAGTGATATAAACAAATCTAGTCAGCTATTAGCTGTTATAATTAGAGGTGTGGCGTGAATTCACTGTCAGTGATTATGTCACCGTTCCTTGGTCGGAACCGGAGCAGATAGTTTTTTGCGTGAGAAAATCACAGTGATTTTTCGGAACTGGTTTATTGTCACCGGAGTTTTAAAAAACCAAACAATGATTTTTTGGAACTGTTCAATTTATTGTCCCTGGAGTTTAAAGAACAGAAGTTTTTTGAAACTGGTTAATTTCTTATCACAGGAGTTTTAAATATCCAGAGATATTTTTTAACTTAGCTGCTATGAACTTTTGTATTTTTAAATCATTAATGTGGAATTAAAATTTAATAACTTGAATTTTATGTAAAATATAAACAATTTGTTAGGTTTTATCACTATTTATTAGAACAAATCAAGTACTGGAAATAAATATACACAAAATCTCTAAACGATAAAAAATGTATTTACATTTATTATTAACGTATTTAAATTTTTTTTAAAAAATTGACAAATCTCAAACAAAAAGTAAAGCATTTGATAAAAGTACAAATAAAATAAAATACGTTCTTGAAAACAAAATAATAATTCTATAAAAATAAAAACATTCCTTTAAAATACTTTTGTTAATAATAATAAACCAGGATTCTCCACTCGACCATTCACTGTTGGGTTCTAATTAACAGTGCTGTTCCTAAAGTGGCGCTGGGAAACAGTAACAAAGCCTGCACAGAACACGAGGCTAATGACCTTAGCAGTCGATGCCGAAAACACCAAATTAAAAAAAAATAATAAAACATATCACCTTTTGGTTACATTTAAGAATATAAGTTGCCTAACTTTTTGAGAAGCTATTCTAGATCTCTGCTCAGTAATTATTTGTCCAGGCTTGTGGAAATCAACACATGGTATAACCTAAGTAATGCCAATGTTTCACAAATCAAAAAATTCAACGTCAATACTAATATCGGCTTTCGGTCTTTGTTCCAAGTTAAATCATTTCTCGTTTTGTTTACGCTACGACTTTACCTCAGGCCTCAGTTTCGATAAGGTGGGAGCCATCATTTTAGCGTCTCTCGAATTAACAAAATAATTCTGTGTAAATTAACTTTTCTAAGGCTTGTGACAGGGTTAACCATAATCCTTTACTTCTAAAGCTTACTGCAATGTAATCTTACTAATCAAAAGGTTAGAGTTAATTACCACTATTAGAACTTATTTCAAGTAACGTCAGGTGTTCCTAAGTGGTAATATCTAGGACTCTTACTATTTAACTTATTTATTGCTTCCTTAACAGCAAAACTTTATTAAATATAGATGGCTTAAAACTTTTCCATATTCTCAAACCCATAAGGGCACCTTTAGACTTTAGTCTGATCTAGATAACACTTTAGAATGGTGTTCTTTGAATGGCATTGACTTGAATACCAATAAATGCTATATCCGAATTTGACTATAACTTAAATTTGCATATTTTAGAAATTAAAAGATCTTGGAATTATTCTAGATTCTATTTTAAGCTTAAATCAACACATATCTGCTGCCGTTTACAAGTATATGTTGGGTTTTTTCAAAAGTATAACCCATGATATTTCTGAAACAACTGCAATTAAAGTTGTTTAATGTTCGCTTAACTATTGCTATTGCTATTTCGTTTGGTCTCCATACTATATAACACAGAGTAAGAAAATATTTATATTCAGCACAATTTTCTCAGTCACATATCCTTTAATTTGGGTGTTCATTGTGAATATGACTTTATGGGTAACTAGGCGAAAACAAAGAGATTTTACTTCGTTATTTAATATTATCAACAGTAGATGTAATTGTCCTGAACTTCTTTTAAAAATAAATATTATTGTTCAAGTTCGTTCAACTAGGCAAATGAAAACATTGTATGTGTCTTTTTATAGATTAAACCAAACTTGTAGTAACTACATTCCAAGAATGCTTAGATTAGCCAACTTACACAATGATCTTAGACTGTTTAACATTCTCTTTCCATCATTCAAAACTCAATTACTTTTTACTAAGCTTTAATGGTAATGTTTTTACTGTGTATTTTTAACATTCGCGTCACCTATTTTATTATTTTAAATGTTCTTAGTCTGTACGACGTGTACAACATATTTATTTGTGCTACAGCATCATAAATATTTTCTCAATTTTAATTAATTTTAAAATTGTAATTTATAATTTAAATGGAATTGCCCGTAAATAAATAAAGTATGAAGAAAAATATGTTGAGCGTGCAAGTCGCTACAATACATTGTTTATTGCCGTGTTTGGCTTATTTCGCTGAATATAGTTGTAGCTAAATTTCAAAATAGGTAAAATTTGAGTTACGATGAACATTTTAGTAAAAGTTCTAACTTTTCCTTATAAAAGAGGATTACTCGTATATTATTATTCTATCAAAATATAAATAAAAGCTTTTTCTTTACATACCTATACAATTCCTGGGTCCCGCGCTAAATGGAACAAAAGAGAACGGATGTCTATTAACACAATTTTCCGGCAAAAATCTGTCGGGGTCAAATTTTTCTGGATCTGGCCAATGTTTTTCGTTTCTATGGATATCAAAGATGTGGATGTGAACCGGGGCATTTCTAGGCAAAATATACCCATTGACTTCGGTATTTTCTTCCATAACTCTAGCTATCATGGGAATGCTAGGATATAACCTTAAACCCTCTTTAATACACCGCTCTAAGAATTTAAGTTCGTTTAAATGTTTTACTTCTGGATTTTCCACACAGTCTTCTAGAACTGTGATAATTTCTTGGAAAATTTGATCCTGAAAAAAATTCAGCTGTCAAAATTTTAATAGAATAAAAAAGGTACGTATATCAAGTTCAGGGCCGGATTAGCGATTGTTGAGGCCCTAGGCTAAAAATAACTTAGGGCCCCTCCTCCTCTCCCTATCCAGAACATTCAGCATATATATGGTACCTAGGGTAGACATTTTTTTTTGATGAAGTAAAATGTGAAACAAAAATTGATAGGTTCAAAGGTATTTATTAAAATAGTATCTTGATTTAAAAAAAAATTTACTCCAAAAAAATACATAAAAATCAAGGAATATTAAAAAAAATAACCTAAAACATTTTCGCTAAAAAAAAAAGAATATATTATGTAATAAGGTGGTGGTGTGTACTCAAATAACTGCTCGTTTCCCTGATTTTAGGGTTGCGAAACTCTCAATAATATTTTCGGTAGGAATTTTATTGAGAATATCGTGTTCTATAGCCAATAAAGAAAGTTGATTAGTTTTTTCATCACCTAATGAATTTCTTTTATAACTTTTTACCTTCTAAGGTAGAAAATGATTTCTCCCCACTACAGTTAGTTACTGCCATGGATAAAAATATCCTTAATGCAATATCTACGTTTGGAAAACTACAAGTTAATTTTTTTGTCTTATAAACTTTAACATTTCCCTTGGATTGCTAATTCCCGAATTAATTTCTGAAATGAACTATTTAAAGCGAAAACATTCGGCTCCTAAACTTTGGTCTAAATCGTTTGGATAGTGCTCCTGGAGCAAATTTGCTTGTAGTATAATATTCTCATCTGAATAATTTTCTAAATATAAAAACCCAAACATATTTGAAACGTTAAGATAAGCAGTTTGTCGACTCTTGAGTTCCGCAAGAATGTTATCGATTATAACATAGAAAGTATTTATGAGCATATTATCTCTACCACTGAATTCAACTTCACCCTCTTTATTTTCGTCAAATTGTAGTTTTCTACTTTGTTTTATTTTATTATCGAATTTATATGTGGAACAGTTTGTAAGTTCATTGCCACATTTTTCGTAATATGCAAAACGTTCGCGTTGTTGTGAAACATGTCTAATAAGTGAATCATACAATTTGACTGCTAAAGAAACATCGATTTCAGTAGCTTGTAATGACTTGCTAACCTTATTGAACTCTGTTAAAATATCGTCCCATAATTTTAACAAAATCCCAACTTCCAATTCTTCGAACCGATTTTTAATTCCTTTTGCTTGAACTTCTGTACTATTTGGCTGTGTAATATCATTTTCGATTACTGATTGACTCTTTAAACGCAGAAAACCCTAAAATAATTGCTTTACAGGAATCCGCGCCAGCAGACCATCGAGAGCATTGGGAATTTTATTGAGTTCTTCTGTCATTATTTGCCACCTATCTGTGGATGCTGAAATAAATTATATATTTCTTCCAAGAACATAAAAAATGAAGTGGCCATATTACAATACTCAGCTGCACAAGTTCCTACCAAATTAAGATAGTGGGCCGCACAGGGGACCAATAAGGCTAGAGGATTCCTTTATTAATGAGAGCTTGCAATCCTGAATATTGACCGGATATATTATTGGCATTGTCATAAGACTGCCCCCTACATTCTTGAATATTTAACTGTAACTCGTCTAATATCTTAAAAACCGCAGTTTCCATGTCAACTGCCTTATGGCAGTATTACTAATAAAGGTAATAAAACGTTCTATAGGAGAGCCATCACATATGACATATCTAAGAATTAAAGTAAGCTGGTCCAGGTGACTAACATCAGGAGTTGAATCCACGGAAATAGAAAAATATTTCGCCGATCTGGCTTCACTACTAATAAAATTACGAACGTGCTTTAATAAAAGTCCAATAAACTCGTCACAAATAGAAGATGATAAATATCAGACATTACCGCGTCCCGGATTTCCATATTTTTGTAAGTGATTGTTCAAGAATGGATCAAATTGAGCTATTGACTCTAAAAGTCCTAAATAACTGCCGTTGTCAATCATAATAATAATAATAATGTTTATTTACCAGCAATATATACATTCAGATACAATAAAATAAAATCCAATAGGAGATAAAATGTAAATAAACAAGAAATGTGTCACTGAATCTGCTCACTGTACAAAGTACAATGACAGATTGTGTGTGACAAAAAATACGACAAAATAAAATAAATAAAACTTATAACAATACAATAACAATACAACTGCAAAAATTTAAAAATATGAAGCAATTAAAATACAAATTATTAATATAAATAAAAGTTATATAAGTACAATCTTTACACTTTGATAATAAGTAAAATTTATTTCCAATATACCTCGGCATAAGTATCTCATACAACGAACATAACTTCTACATAGACAAAGAACATTTTTTAAATATTCAGATTCTTTAACGTTTATAATATACTTTCTAATTATTTAATTTCTATTTTTTTTTTATTCGATTATATTACAGAAAAAAGTTCGCGGTGTTTTTTGTTATAAATTCTTTTACACATCTTTTAAATTTTTTTACTGTTTTTATTTCTCGAAGCTCCGTTGGAATGTTATTAAAGATTTTTGGTCCCAAAAACCGATAGCTATTTTGTCCAATTGATTTATTCGTTCGTGGTAGCAAATAATTGTCTCTATTTCTTGTATCACATTGATGCAACGGTGTTTGCAGATCATCTTGATTTTGAAATTGATGGGTGAGTGCTGCTTGACAGAATAACTGTCGTAAGTCAAATATCTGGGTTTCTTGATACACATTTTCAGTAGGATATCTTCTATTTTTGTTTAGCATTATTTTTAAAAAACTTTTTTGAATGATCTCGATTGGCTTTAAGTGCGTTTTAGTAACTCCACCCCAACCAATTATTCCATAGTTGAGATGAGATTCGAAAAGGCTATGATACAAAATTCTCTTCTGTGGTAATTCTAGCATTGGTGATATTTGTACGAATTTAAATAAGACACTACGTAATTTGTTTAGTAAGTATTGAGTATGTTTGTCCCAGCGCAAGTGGCTATCTACTTTTTCCCTAAATATTTAGTTTTATTTTCAGGTAGTATATATGTGTCGTTCTCGATAGCGATATTTTGAAATTGAGGAAGACTAGAGGCTAAACTGCAAAAAGGTAGGTACACTGTTTTTTTAAAATTTATAGATAGTAATCGGTAGTCAAACCATGTTTTTATTTTGGGGAAATCCTTCTCTACCAATGTTTTCAAGTTATTCCAGTCAGTAGCTTCGTAATGCATTACTGTGTCATCTGCAAAGCTAATAATATTTGCTTTACTTTCCACTAAAAAGAGATTGTTCAGGTAGACTATAAAGAGTAGAGGCCCTAATACTGTTCCCTGAGGTACACCACATGAGACTATTGATCGATGCTGGTAATATTTTGTATTTTGGTTTTCTGTTTTCTGTTTGTTAAGTAAGACTTCATTAATGTATTGGCTATACCCCTTATACCCATATCTTCAAGGGAATTTAATAAATGACAATGATTGACGGTGTCAAAAGCTTTAGCCAAGTCTAAAAAGATTCCTATTGATGGTTTTTTATTGTCAATTGAACAGTAAATTTTATTAGTTAGTTCCGTTATTGCGTCTCCCAAACTTCTCTGTGGTACCTCGACTTGCTAAAAATTTAATTGTAGACAATACACGATGGAGAATTTTCATGCAGTAGTTTTTTTCCTCTAAATATTGTTTTTCAATTTCTGTATCTATTTTGCCTAAAGTATTGAAACGAGTTAGAAATATTTTTGTGTTATTTAAATGTTCTTGCGAAGCCTCATGCTTTTCAATTCTGATAATATTTCATTAAATCCTTTAAGAAAAGATTTTTCACGATCCTTGCTAAACAACATACACGGCAAACAGAAAACTGAATTCTTCGACACAGAATATAAGAGCCACCCTCGCGAACTTCCTCGCCATTTCGAAGTTTGGAAAAAAATATTTTTTTAGATGCGTAGCGTGATTGTAGGCCTTCATACACTCTCTTTGAGTTTTCAAAATCAAAACTGTTTAAATCCTGTATTATCGGATTTTTTATTAGTGAGTCAATCGTCTCTGAGTTAATGTTAACTGATATTTTTGCAGGATCGCCAAAATCACATCACTTGTATCAACTTCGTCAGTGTCATTCTCATTGTTTTCATTTTCATTAGTGGTGAGCAAAGAATCTAAAAACAAAATATGAGCTTGCTTTTGATTTAAAACATAGAATAAAATATAAAATAAATACCTTCCAAATTTGTTCTTGAAGTTCCTGGTAAAGCATCATGTGACAAATGAATTAAATTAGAGTTCTGTGACTGCTCACTATCAATATGTGGTTTTTTTAAAAAATGTGTCTATTTTTGGCACATTTTCTATAGCTTCCGCCTGCCTTACAGCTTTTTCTTTAGCTATTTTACGTTTTTTTTCCCACTTGGATAGTTCATAGTTACTCATTTTAGTCACTTAGTGTCACTACACTATGCACTAATTATGTTTTTTAATACAAAATACTTTTGTGATTAAATTACGATTATAACGTTTTAATTTTAACGAACGAACATATCCTTAAAAAATGCGTGTGGATTTTATTGGTTATATATCTATGGGATTTTACTACACAAGACGGAATGACGCACGCAGCGCAAGCTCGCCGACGCCAGGGGGTCGATTCTCGACTTTTTTCCTATAGGAATTTGGTTGATTTTCCTATAGGAAAGTAGGTTACGTATTCTGGAGTCAAGTTGTAGGAATATTTTCCTAAGCAGTTATAGGAAATGATTTCCCATACTCATGAGACAGGGAATTTAATTTTCCTACAAGATTTTGTAATCGCGCTTGCGCAATAGTAGCTTGTTTAATGTGGTTTATTGATTTATGCTTACTTTTTAGGCGATTCGAAACTCATTTAAAAAAGAAACATACTACATATATTATTAAAAGTTAATTTTAATTTGACGAGTAAAATTATCCTATTTGAAATGTCTTTAAGTCAATAAATAAAGTAAACCAAA